GACCATCGTTTCGCTGGTTCCGGATACGGTGTGCTGGATGAAGAAACCCGAAAGACTTTGAAGACTTTGGCTTGCCGCGAAGGAATCTTGATGGATCCTGTGTACTCTGGAAAGGCTGCCAAAGGGCTGATTCACTGGGTCAACAGTGGCGAGCTTCAGAGCGACGCTTCCAAAGTTGGCCATCAACCGGGTGCGACAGTCAATGTTCTGTTCATTCACACTGGCGGCCAGAATGTCTCTTCTGCGTATGCTGCTTGATTTTATAGGAGTTTGGTGTGTATGGTCAAGCTGTTTCCGTGAATTTCCGAGGATTGCGTCCGTTATTCAGCATACGAGATGGTGACATGAAAACTTTCGCTTTCTAATCTTGGAAAGGTCCAAAAGCATAGTGGCCGCTACAACATATTGCGAAGGCGTACAGCATAAAAGCTAATGAGCATCAAGATTACTGCCAGCCTTACGTACAACAGGGTGTGTTTGAATTGATGCACATGGTCAGACAGATGTGTGGGTGGCATCCATCATACTCGCTAAACCTTGCTAGAAAAAAGAAAAGCTGTGAAGTGACCAGCTGCAGGCTGGGCGTGATGCGATGGTTCCGATGTGCACTATTACTTGTACCGGCATAGCCACAGTTCTTAACGAACATAGTAAACCTCAGTGTGGCAATAATTTTCAACCGTAGATACTTATGGATGATAAATACCCATTGATTCCCTTCTATGCCTCTGATCTCTTACTTTCCATCTCATCCTAGATTTAACTAAAACTCCTTCTCACTCCCTTAGCCTGAGATACGTTTAAGACGAAGATCACAAGCATCATCCAAGTCCTTTTCGCTGTTGCGTTGGCCATTTGTGTCAAGGCTGCTCGAGCGCAGAGTGAAGGTGGAGCTCCGATTGAAGCTTCCACCGACTCATAAGTCAATAGCAAGATTGATCAAAGGTCTGGCGAGTCTGGCAATGAGAAGCGATGGAGGTTTAAGTATGCCGAGAGAGATGTCCCTGGTTAGTCCTACAATTCTACCCAGGATGTTTAACTCATGCTGAAGGCACGTCTTTAGGTGCTAAGTTCTACTATCCGTCTATCAAGAAGCGACAAAACCTGAACAGCGACATGGATACGGAGGGAGAAGATTCCTGGAAGATCTCCCAACGATCCGAAGACAGGCAGGTGGATTATTGCAAGTGGCATGGTAATATTTGAGAAGGTCACAATACTGACTTCTTTAGATTCAACTGTTCAGAAGGCTGATTCAGATGTGGAGGCTTGCGGCATCCGCGGCCGCAGTCGTGGTCGCGGTCGTGGTCGGAGGATGACATGAGCCTACATCTCAGGAAACGGCAGGACTTCTGAGAGCCACCAGCGAAATTTGGAAATGACGGAGTTCCTGGAAAGTTCGGTGAGAGTCAGTCTGGGAGGTGGAACGCGAGAGTTATATCGTATGGTATTGAACTGGGGCATTTCTTTCTTGAATTCTTTTGCCACTCACTTTGCAACCACGAAATGGCCGACACCTTAAGCTTCTGGCCGCATTTACCATGTACGATGGCATACATGAAAGGCCACATCATGATTAAATACACTCGTTTGCTGCATCAAATCCGTCAATGGCTGAGCTGAAACCTTTCAAGAGCCTCGTGGTTGGATCCTTCTTTTTGAAGACAGGGAACGGTCTCCCTCTAGACTACCTTGATCCATAGCGTTCTCTTCAACCTGTCAGGGTTTTCTTCCGACCGATTAGTCAACTACGGAATCATTCCTGCTGGTGAAAATCTTGACCCTCGTAAATCGGACTGTGGGAGCTCTCTTCAAGGCCTAGGCGAAAAATAAACAATCACTCGCTCTCTATCACCCAAGTTCACCAGTCTTCACACCCTCCAAACACAGTGTTGCTAACTTATGCCAGACTTAGGCTGTACAGCCACCCTTCTAGGCGTAGTTGTCTCATTTACTTGGCAATTGCAGCTTTTGGAAAGTGAAAACAGGATCTTACAAAAGACTGCGCAATTTTCAGTTGTGTCTCCAGCTGCTTGTTCATCACAAAGCGCCTTCCATGTCATTGGGCGAAACACACAAGATCTATCGCTTCGGCTAATGCCGTAGCAAAACATGAACTAGGCAACCACCAGAAACTTTGCCGTCTTCATCACAGCCTGATTTCTATTTTCTAGCTCTCACGCACTTGCCTGTTTCCTGTGTCACTCTCACCCCTCTTACCTAGGTACCCATCGAGGGATTAATTGCTTGTTGGTGTCTTGGCTGCGTCTGCAGACACTGGATACGTTCAGCTGACAGCGTGTGTGCAAAAATGGGCGTCTTGCTTCCCGTAATGAGTGAAACATGCATCACCTGAAAGGAGACTACATGTGGCATGATTGTTGCTATTAAGAATAATTATCATTGACTTGATTCCTGGAGGTTGTGATGGCCTGAGTCTTGCGGCCTGTCTCCAAACCTCAGCTTGTAAATTTGAGGGTGTGATTACGTTCTCAAGCGGGAGCTGGGCATGAGGTCTTGTTCTCTGTCTGTTTGACGGTATCGACTGATGATTTGCAAAATCGTGAGCGTAATCCTGCAGGGGCTCGCCTGTGTTGCTAGCGCTGAGAACACTAACGAGTTATAAGAAGATATAAGAGTACGCATGCGGGGACAGCATCGTAATTGTGCTGCTTGAGTTGTGACTTCTGCTTTCTTTTTTAAGCAAAGCTGTGTTTTTGATGGTGAATTTTGTGACTGCGCCCCAGCATCGTCACACGGTGCAGCCCAGGGGCTGTTTGCTTCCAGGCAACACAACCAAGTAGATATACGTGCCGCATGCCTTGGTCGCTATCGTCTCTATGGATGTGACTTTCATGATGGATTTTGAAGACTGCGCCACGCCATAGTGGAATCGAAAGTCTGTGCGGCATCATAATCACAGCAACACTAGGCTAGTGAACACCTGTTTCGTGATGGTACTCGATCACCGCTTACATTGAATTGGTGTGATTCTCCTTTGTATCTAGTTTATCTCTTCAAACGTAGCACACATCGCCCTCAGGAATTCTGACCACCCATTCCTGGAATCCCGGATTCGCCGAGGAGCCTTAAGTTCACCAACTAGGTGAAATCCGAACCGGTGTGGGACGTTAGAGCAGTCGCTGAATAGTCTGGCAAACATGGTGGAGCTTAAATGACTTGGGCCTTCTCAGGAGACAACACCCACCTGCAAGATTTGTGAATATAAAAATGGAGTGTGATTTCTTCTCACTGACAGTTTTCATCCTCACCAACAAATATCCGAAGCCATCTCAAGTCCTGTTTTTAGCTTCGATACCACCTTCACGAGCCAGCTAACTGATCGTTCGTAACAAACATGAAGCCTTTTCTTATCATCCATCTCATCTCCTTCATTTTTGGTCGACCAGTGTCCAGGCTGCTGCAATTAACACCGGACACGTCGTTGCTGCATTTAAGGTCGATTCTCGAGACCTGCATTACCCCGTGAGACCTCCTCCTTGGCCATCTTCTCAGCTTTCAGAGGCGCCGTTGGATTTTTCAAAAGTCGAGCAGTCCACTTCCGACCTCGGAGCCAGACAAGCAAACCATTTGACCAGGCCAGAGTACAGCGTTGCGTACAACTACAAAGAGCAAGGAGCTAGGTCCACTGAGATAGACCCAGCCCCAGACAACTCAGCGGGCATACTGGTAGACGAAGCAACAAGAAGCCTATTGCAAGATGAGAAACGGGCTGAAGGTACGGATTTCAAGGTTTTGCTATCGATTCTCCGAGATGTTACTAACCTGTTTTTCCAGATCTCTTGGAACGCAAGTGGCTGCCTCCCAGTCGAAACCCGAGATCTATTTGTAATGGGAGGGTTTGCGTCTCAAACAGACCCACCGACAAGCCTCGTGCTATTGACAAATCTGACAGCGAGGGTTCCGTTCGCAACAACGCCGAAAATTCGATGAAGCTGTGTGAAATCCAGCAACTCCATGCTTCATGGGACCATGACAAGAAACGAAGGACCATTTCCAACGGGTGGAGTGAGTGCTTCCGCACCTGTTTGTCTGCTGAACTATGGATGCTAATAAAGTATTTAGTTATTACATTGAAGGAAGGATTGAAGGAAGGAAAGTCGCCTTGAACTTAAGTCATTGCCGTCGGTCGCGGAGACTTTCTACATGCTGTTCTGGAATTTCTGACGCTCATTTGATGCTATTATGACAAGCTTGCGAGGTTTACCCAGTCTATCTTTATTGAACTTCATTACGTATGTGGCAGCACACATACTTACTCAGATTTTGAACCAATCACATTCTTTTAGCACGTCTCATGATTTCCTATCCTTGGTACTGAATTGTCTTCAGACCTAATGTTCCACGCCACTCGAAATCTTCTAAAGAGGCACCCTCATCTCGGACTTGCAATAAGATACAGATAACCTTTAAGCGAGGCAGCAGAAATCATACCCTATTCCGCGTACGGATTGGCGTTTGTGCCGCCCCCGTACTTCGGCATTTTAGTGTCAACATGCTAAACCCACATAGGGATCCGCTCCCGATGCGTCTCTGCATCGATGGGCAGATGGTATGACGAGATCCACTCGTATCACATTCCAGCGTTTTTTCTCCCTTGGGCGCCACTGATACCGTCCACACTAGCAATTAGTGTTTCCGACGGAGGCGGCGTCTAGGCCTTGAGCATGTCGTGAAGCGGCGGGGACGGGACCGCAATGGAGGGGCTTCCACGAACTTTCTCCAGAAGCTGAAGAACTCTTCATTCGCCAGCGCGAACACTTCGTTCACACCTTTCCATCAGGTTCAAAAATAGCGGCAAATAAGAAAGTCGTTGCCCAAATTCAGTTCCTGAACCTTCTCATTCCGACCCCATCCCAGTCCGCCAGATCAGCCCACGATTCGCTCGAGCTTCTCGAACTCTTGGACCCCACCTCTCACCGCCTCACAACTCTACCTCCCACCATCACGGACCTATCGACGGGGTCGCACTGCAGACAATGCCCGAGAAGCTCATCGCCGTCGTCGGCGCCACTGGAAACCAAGGTGGCTCCGTCGCTCGCCGCTTCCTCGCCGCGGGGTACCGCGTCCGAGGGCTCACCCGCAATGTCTCCTCTCCCGCCGCCACGGCGCTAGCATCCCTCGGTGTGGAGGTTGTGCAGGCGGATCTGGAAGATGTAGACTCACTGAAGGAGGCCTTCCGTGACGCCAACGTCATCTTCAGTGTGACGAACTACTGGGAACCCTTTTTCCGGCCGGACTGTCGCGCAAAGGCCCAGCAGCTTGGCATCTCGTGCCGCAAGTACGCGTATGATGTTGAGTATCGTCAGGGACGGAACATTGCTGATGCCGCGGCGGCAACGGTGGACACACTCGATGAGAACGGCTTCTTGGTGTCGACGCTGAGTCACGCAGAGAAGTGTAGCGGTGGGAAGTTCAAGGAGCTGTACCATTTCGATGCAAAGGCCGACATCTTCCCTGGCTACGTGAACGGGAAGTATCCCAGTCTGGCTGCAAAGATGTCGTGCATCCACACGGGTTACTTCTTCACAAGTTACAATATCCTGCCAAACTCCTACTTCGGAAAGGTGAGCCACTCTTGCGTGGCTATTATTATCTGAGTTTCCTGCTAATGCCTCCTCAGAACCCTGACGGCACGTTCACAATGGCATTCACCACTTCCCCGGAGAAGCCCGTGCCTCACTTCGACCCATCCGGAGATATGGGCAACTTCACGTACGCCATCTCTCAAATGCCACCCGGCAAAGCCTACATGGCTGAGGGATCAACCTGCACTTGGCCCGAGTTTCTTGAAACATGGGCTCAGGTGACGGGAAAGACGGCAACTTACAAGCAGGTCACCCCTGAGGAGATGATTGGGGCCACAGGAGAGCGCGATACCGGCATCGAAGTTGCGTACATGTTCTCGTATTCCTCGGACCCTGGATACGATGGCGGCATGGACCTGTTGACGGCCGCTGATATTAGAAAGGTGAGATCTATCAGATTCTACATTAGTGATCCATTCTTGTGGCTAACACTCTTTAGGCGGGCATCGACTGCCAGTTGACTAGTTGGCGAGACTGGGCAGCTAAGAACGACTGGTCTTCTGTATTAAATAAATAACAGCTGTATTTGATAGAGGCCGTAAGTCAGGTTAGTGGGGGACCTATGGCCAGTGTTGAGCGATGTGTTTCACCATATTTAGCTGAAGGACTTCAGGGAACACTCAACACGCGTGTCTCAAGGATACAAAATGAGGGTGTTATGCGCGTATATCATTATATTTCGATCCCATCATGCGGGATCATTGACTATACACGCCCTTTGGGATAGCGAGTCTCCCACCTTGGATAATAGTCCGTCCCTTCTTTTCAGTAACCGTACTCAAGAGTCTAGCCGATGGCCTCATACTAGATGCCAAGCATGAACGTCACGAAAGCCGCAAACCCAAAGGCAAATACCGCTTGCCCACTTCCTGGGCCCGTTGCAAAACTGCTGCTGTTTTTCGGCACCGGTTGGTTGGACAAGACCCCTCTTCCAGGCTCCATTGACTGCGGGAACATGATGACGGTTCCGTTTCCAACGTCGCCAACGGGCATGGACGCGTTTTGGTCAACGGTCAGCGGAGTCGTCGACTCGAACCCGTCTCTCCTGCCAACCAACACCTCAACGCTTCGGAATGCGACTGAGGGCATGTCCGCGGCGACAAAATGACCCGCCTGGGAAACAGCGATGTATGTCAGTCCTCGCTCCGAGTGTACCGTACCCATGACACCAGCCCCAGCAATGTTCTCCGGGTTGTCGTTGGAGTGGTAAGGGACGTAGAGCGGGGCTGTCGGCTTCATCTGGAATCCCATCTGCCCACCCCACGTGAGGTTCTGAATCGTCAACAACGTGCCGTCATCAATGAGAACATAGTCCCTGGTGCCATGGGCGAGGATGACGTTGCGGGTTTTGTCAATGACGTTGGGAAGGACAGGCTGGCTTCCAGGCCCATCCAAGATTGAGTTGTCCGTGCTATTCTGGAACACTGGAACATCAGTGCAGAACTTCCACTCCTTGTCCATTGGCGCGTTGATAGCTTTCTTGACATCATCGCGGTTGAAGTAGGGTTGTCCGGAGCCCCTGGGTCGGTAGTTCGCACCATCACTGAAGCCGAGCGGGTCATACTTCAGTGGGCACCCATCCGTGATTGTGTACACACTGAAGCAAGGGTTTGTCTGCTCCGCAGCTTCCCCGATCATTGTCCAAATGTCGCACTCCGTCTTGACTTCTCCGTTACCGTCCACGCCCGGAGGTACAGCGGGCTGTAGACCGGAGGGAGGGAAGACGAGGTACTTGCGCATGTAGTCGGCATAGCCACATTTGTCGTTGACGTCCCTCAATGTCTTGCGGAAGGTATCGTTGAAGGCGAACACGTGCTCCCAACGGTCTGTAAAGGCGAGAGCGGGAATCTCCTCTCCGATGCTGTCAACTGAGTACGTCCCGTCGAAGATCTGCATGCCGCCAACGTTGAAGTAGTCCTTGTCGTTGGAGTCGATCATGGCGCTGGCAATGTACGGGCAGTACATGCCACTGTATGAAGATCCTGTGACGTAGATCTTGAATCCCTTCAAGTCAAATGTGTCGATGAAGTTGCGCCACCAGCTGAGGAACTGGCGTGAGACGTCGAACTCGTCCTTTGCTGTGGGTGTGCCCGTTGAGAATCCAGCACCAACAGGTTGGTCGATCCAGACCACGTTCGTGATGCGATGCCAGCTCCATTTGTTCCTGATAGGCCTGAACATTCCTGGCTGCCAGAGCATAGGACCATTTTCCGAGAGAAGCTCGCCAGTCGAAGAGCAGCCGGGCTGTGACAGCAGAGTCAGCACCACTGAATTTCCCGCGAATATCCTGACCTACACCACCAGTGAGCCAGATTACGATCTCCTTCTCGGTCTCTTGATTCTCAGACGGAAAGAACCAAAAGTACAACTTCTCGCTCGTGTCATTATTGGCGTGAATCGGAATCAATCCTGCGTAGGACTCGCCGACATCCCAGTCCACCTCGGGGATCTTGGTGCCGTTGACGACGAACTCTGTACGATGCGTCAGTATCTACGGTGATCTTATCATATTTGTGCAGGTTTACTTCGAGTCTTATCAGTGAGGAATTTCGGCTCCCTCGCCGCCTTAGAATTGGAAATGACATTTTGCACCACGTTCTGCTGGCCTCCCGCCGGTTCCGGAAACAGTTTCTTCGCCGCTGCAGGGCGGTACTGCTGCAGATTCAACGTCGCAGTGACGGCCGAAGGTAACAAGAGAAGCGTCTGAAGCCAGTGCATCTTGGCGGATCTGTGGTTTCGTCGTGACTTCTTCCCGTGCTACATCGACATCTACAACCCCCTTAACAATCTCACCCAAAAGGCAAAGAAGGCCACTGGGGCTCCGCGGGGACTTTTATGAAAGGCAGCACCCCAGGAACCTTAATCATCTTCGGAAGGGTGCGATGCGCGTTTCAAAACAGCCGATGAAGGGTTTAAGCTCGGACGTAGGAGCCCGGAAGAGACACATATCAGTGTCACCTCAACTTGCGTTTCGACCGAGCTTATTTCACATGGCGTCGGATCGTCGAGCGGGGGTGCCTGCCAAGAGCCGTGATTTGGGTAAATACTTTCGCTGTTTTCGGGAGCGATTTGATGGGTCACCCTTGATCGCGGCCTTCGAAACGCCGTCATTCTGTGGGATTCTGCGGGCAGTTGGGCCCTTGGGACAACCATCACAATTTAGCTTAATTGAACCCCAAACCCGTAACGTTTCGATAGACGGCAGACGCCGCTTTTCTCCGAGGGGACATTTGACAGAACTAGCGGACACGGGTTGCTCCCCTTGAAGTCGGGATGAAGGTTCGCGGGGATTTAGCGTGGAAGCCAATTGCCGCCGCCCGCAGTCACGTTGTCTGAATTTCTCACGATAACCATAACGGCGGGTTTCACTAACCCAAGCTTGCCTATCTTGGCTATCAGCATTCCATTGCAAGTGCCGGCGGGAGGAGTCAAAGTTCGGTTCCGATGACCTCTACCAAAGCAAGCCTCGACAAGACTTGCAGCGACTGAGCTACCGTCCGATCGGGTTCTGCATAGTCGCCACCTGCGTTATCCGAGGGTGGACAACTCGTCCCATGATTCTTCCATGTGCACACCTTCCCATCCACCTCCCGATAACATCCTTTTCGGAATGCGAGATGTAAACCGCCTCGTTTTACTCTAATTGAGAGACATGACCTAGCCGCTGATCCCGTATGCGACTCAAAAGGCGAAGGAAGTCTAAGCCCAACACAATATCTGCCCAATAGCTTCACGATAGTACCTGCATATCCTGTCTATCCCCACGTCACATCGAGATCGACCAGATCAACCCAGGGGTCTTGGTATCCGAGGCTGATTATTATTCAAGGCCCGAACCGTTGGATCAACGAGCTTAATCACATTTGGGTTTCATCAGCGGGCCTCCAACAAGACGATCTGTGTGGACACGCAACCTGATGAGAAGGATTAGGCTCCTCGTAGCTGGCAACATAAGGTTTGGCGATAGAAAGGACGCAAAGGTGACCACTTTGCCATACAAAATGGAGATACTGCAGTCATTACGATAGGTTAGCGCTTTTCTTATGATGATCACTTATTGAACCACCTGAGTCTATGTAAGCCGAGATCAATGTCAACTAGAGGTTTACCACGCGGTAAACACCCTTTTAAGTCTCCTGGTTGGGCGTAAGACGTTCTTTCACGATTCGAACTGGCCAATCACAAGGATTAAAGCAAAGTACTACCAACGTATTTGCACCTATACGTACTTACACAAACATTTTCCGAAACTTCAATCATTGGATCATAGGTAGGCATAGGGGTAGTGAAAATGTTTTCGTAGTGTAGGCAACCTATACACTGCTACCAAAACATCACATGAATCAATGTCACACCCAGCAACCGTACAAGAAAATAGCTTGCAAGTTTCTAATGACAAGATTAGTAATCTGAGCCTGTTTCACGCATGAAAGCAGGAGAAGAAAAGATGGATTCGTCATTCATATTTGCGTTCCAGTCAAGTACTTTCAGTTGCATAGCTTTGCTAGTCAGGCCCTTCTACCAGTACCGGCCCTTTTGCCAGGCCTACGGTGTCACAGCAACGAATACATAGCCTTCTCAAAGGTGTGTACAAGCCCCTCTTCGATAGGAGTGCTGTATGGTGAAGTCTGGAATGCCACGATGGTGCACAGTCCCGCTGCAGGGTCGATTTGCTGTTCCGTAGATGTAAGCCTTCCAAACCTATCCTTGCGAAAGGAAGAGCAGCACTTACCAGTCCAACGTTCCATCCGCAGTTGATGGACATAGACCCTTTGCGGCGCCACTTGTCTCCATCTAGATCCTGCATGATCACAATGGCTCCGAATCCGAAGTTGCGGCGCAGAGTGGGCCATTGCGGCAGCGGATAGCCATAGTTGATAAAACGGATGACCTTGTTGAAGTGCTCATTCATCCCGCGCTCCATCGTCTCATTCAGCGCAGGCACAAACATCTGGTCAACTGTCTCGGGCTTCAGGAGAACGCCGTCGCGCTTCAGAAGGGAGTGCATCACGGCCGTGAAGGCGGCCGGGCTGGCGAACATACCCGAGCCGGCGTAACACTCTTCCGGGAACTTGCGGAAGAAGATGGTGTCGTCGTAGTACAGCTTGCCGTCCTCGGGGCTGCGCTTCGTCAGGTCCGCCCGGCGCGCGAGCATCTCGGGCCGCTGGTGGAGCTTGAACGTAATGTCGGTGATGCCCAGCGGCGTGCAGATGTTTTGTTGCATGTAGCTCTCCAGGTCCATGCCCGTTGCTCGCTCGACCAGCTTACCGGCCCAGTCGATGTTGGTGCCGTGGACCCACTCGGCGCCCGGGTCGCCGACGGGGGGCGCGGCCAACGGGTCGGGAATGTCGGTCTCACCACCGATAGGCAACGGGTACGTTGAGCACCCCTTGGCGCAGTACTCACGCAGAAGAGGGCTGATAGGCACGTGTGAGATGCCCGAGGTGTCCGTGAGCATGTGCCTTTTTGATCGCAAGAAGTCAGTAATGGTCGGGCGATGAGTATCAATCATGGGTGAATTCACCTGAGAGTGATGATTCCGTTCCTCTCCCTCATGGTGGGCTTGCCCTCTGCATCAAAGCCAGCCAAGACCTTCATGCTGGTCAGGTCGGGGAGGTACTTTTCCACGCTCTCATCTAAGCCAATGAGACCGCGCTCGACGCACTGCAGCGCCATGACCGTGCCGACGAGCACGCTTGCCTGGCCCATTCTCATGATTGTGTCTGCTTGCATCGGGGGCAACGACCCGTTCTCATCCCGTCGGACGGACCTAGCACCGAAAGAGCGGACATAGTCAATTTTGCCTGAGAGCAACAACACGATTGTCAGCTAACCTGTCATGGTCTCAGACTCTTGTCCACGAGTCGGGTTTGATAATTTCGCTGAGTAAATACATGTAAGGGGAGCCTACCGGTTACATCCTTCGCAATCACCACGGCACCCGGAATCTGGCCTGACTCTACACTCGACTTGAAGGCCGACTCCATTTCTGAGACCATGTTCCCGTCTGCAGTTGCGGCAACTGCCTGGTCTGCGGGTAGGGTAGTTGTAGAAGCCATTCTGGAAACTGATCGCAGCAGCTATTTGCTTCCCAGTCGGACAATGTGATAAGCCTAAGAATGACGGTGTTGAGTTGAGTTGCGTGTGCGACGGTTAGAGAGCTGCGGGTTGAGGCAATTGAGCTCCAAGCAATGATAGTTGCTTTGACACTCTTATGCCGGGGGACTCGCAATACGTCGTAAATCTCGCTCCACAGAACTACGAATACATTGAGCCTCTGACCGCACTTTCCGAGCCAAGGTTGCTGCCCGTCCCGATGCGCCCACCTTCACCATGCCAATCTGTAGCAAATGAGGGCTTTGAACTCATGTAGATAGTAGTGAGTCAAGTCCCTTGCACGTGCTTGTAAATGCCTCTGTAACCCAGTGCGAACCAATTGTCATAACTCAGTTGTACGGTTCCTCATACAGACCCAACGATACCCCCGATCTTTGTGGTTGTGGACTTACGAAAGCGAGGTTCTTGCACATGCTTACACAGTGGCTGGCATTTGAACGAGTCAATCATAGAGAAAGCTGTTGTACCGGTACATCTGTCGGGTTGTATGGGTCCTGAGAGACTGGGTGCAGGGGACCCTCCGCACTTGAAGATCTGCAGTCGCTCTCCCCGGTGAGGGGCTCTTGGAGTACTGAATTTCTACCGACTATTTGTCCGTGCCTCAGTGCACCGCGAGGCAGTTCCCGATTTTTCATATCGAGGAATCAACTCCCGAAGAACTGCTAGATATTTTCGGCATGTACAAGTTTTTATGATGAGAGGTCATTTGCGACAATCAAGACTGAGAGGTCATTTGCGACAATCAAGACTGCAGATATCAACGTTTCAAGGCTTGTGGCCTCAACAGGAAAACATATTCCGCGAAGTTGACCCCGAAGTTGACCCCGAAGTTGACATGGGTGAATTACGTATTTCATTCTTTCTCAATGCAGTTTGGGTATGGCAGAATTCCTTGATAAAGACTTACAAGTTATAGCCATTGAGCCCCTGCCTCGCTGTGCACCACTACCTTGAACACATGGGGCCGGGGTCTCGGTCTCCGAGAAGACCGGGAAGTAAATACAAAGAAGTCGGCCAGCCTTGATAGAGGCCACTCACCGTATGTCTTACGATTAGTGTATCTCGACACTGTTTTTGTTTCTTTAACCGTAAGATTCCTTGGTGTTTTCACGCGATTCATCTCAAAATGGGCCAAGGCCACTCGAGGCCCAAGCCGGGCACAAAGTTCCGTGTCATTGGTGCCGGCATGTACGTATTCCATTATCGTTATCAATCCCAAAGCCACCATGGCCAGGCAAAATCATACATGAGCTAAGACTGTGAACTTGGTGATATCTCAGGTCACGAACTGGCACCAAGACCTTTGCACAAGCCCTAGAGACGCTCATCGGCCCCGTCCATGATGGCGGCGCCGAGGGACTCGTGGGCACCGCGGAGGTGCGGAAGCGGTGGATCGAGGTCATGGAATTAGCGACCAAGAAGGATAAGACGCTGCCCGAGAAGAAGCGACTGGAATGGCTGCTTGCCGAACTCATGGAGGGGTACTCCGCGGTAGGTTACTGCAACCCTGAGGCAAATCACGATTTGACATGACCGATTCTTGCTGACCATTACCCGGGCCAAAAGACCGTTGATGCGCCCTGCATCTGGCTTGTGCCGGAGCTGCTCGAGCTGTATCCAGATGCCGTCGTAATCGCAACCACCCGAGACAAAGAGTCTTGGTGGAAGAGCGCGCAAACAATCTCCAGCGTCGTCGACTGGCCGTGGCTGCCCTTCTTCGCTCGGCCACTTCCAGTGCTGAACTCATTCGTCACGTATGTGCCTCTGTCCTACTAAGAATCGAATCTTGCTGACCATTTCCGACAAGATGGGGCCCGCTCGTCGAGAGAACGTGCGTCTCCCATCTGGGTTTCAAGGGCTTCCAGTGCGCCGAGGTGTTGGAAACGCACGAAGCGTTCTTGCGCAGGGTCGTGCCGCCGGAGAAGCTCTTCTTCTACCGCGTCCGCGACGGCTGGGGCCCGTTGTGCGAGATGCTCAAGCTGCCGGTGCCCGCGCAGCCCTTCCCGCATAACAACAAGCCCGAGGACGTCAAGATGGTTGGTCGCATCGTGGTCGCAGTTGGATCGGTGGCGTGGGGAGTTGTCCTCGGGGGTGCGGTTACATGCACCTGGGTTGCTTGGAGGTTAGGGTCGACGATGCTGAGCAAGATGGGGAACGGAGGGTTGTTGAAGTTGCTTGACACGATCCGATGAATCCCGACCACTAGTCCACCTTTTAGAAAGATTCCATATTGACGACTGACCTTATTACATTCATACTACAAGCTACTCCAAACCACGTTCAAATACTTACCCTCATTGATTTTGAGACTGAAATACCGTGGAAAATTGCCAGGCTTGATCAATGATGCATTTCAGAGCATCAGAACTAATTGCAAAGCTAAGAAAATACACTATTATCTAAATAAACTGCCTGCCTGCTTATCTCGCTTTATCGAGCTGTTCATTAAGTTGAAGAACTTTTCTTCCCAAGCACAAACCTGACACCCTTGTCCAACGATTCCGCCAAGCGATGCGCCCCCGTAGGAGCAATAGCGTCATGATGGTCCCCCTCAATAGCCAAGCACACCATATTCTTGCCCAACTCGCCGTCCTTACCGGCGCCTACATACTTGTCCCAGCCACCGGGGCCCAGGTCCGTTTCTGAACTCTTGTCCGGCAGGCTCCACGCCACGGCGCCCAGCTTTGGGTTCTCCATAAACCCTTGGTACGGCTCGACAGGGTAGCCCATATCGGCGAGCTTGGCGACGAGGTCGGGCTGGCGCCGCCTCAGACGGCCTACCATGCCTCCCTTGCACCAGACGACGGCGGCGGGAATGCGAAGAACTGGTCCGGCGTCTGCTAGGGATGGCGGGTGGTAATCCAGGACGCACGTGAACATGGCGCGCAGGTGCTCCGTGATGTCGAACCCTGGGGTGTTGCCGATGAAGTGCTCTCCTGAAGTGGTGAAGAAGATAGGCCAAGTCTCTTCGTCCGACCAAGCAGCTGCTGATGGCGGCGGCGGGGGAAGAGGACTGCGCATGTCCAGAATCACGATGCCGGCCACGCGCCGCCCTTGTGCAAGGAGCTGGCGGCACATTTCGTAGCAGAAGAGGGACCCACCGGAGAAGCCGCTGATAACGATAGAGTCCTCGTCAGCTTCGGACAGACCAGCATTGGGCTGAATCTCGATAAGAGCTTCCACCATGATCTTGGCAACGCCGACAATGCCAACCTGTGTCGTCATTCGCGACGGGCAGCGCAGGAAGGGTGAGTCGATGCCGTAGACGGGCAGTGGGAACTGGCGCCGGAGCAGATGGATGTAGGTGGCGATGCTACCACCGCCATCGCAGACCAAGTACAGGCGCCCCTTGCCGGCCTGTGGACGGCCTTGCAGCATGGTGATTCGGGCTTTTGGAAGAGGCTCATCATTGGTGGTCTTTTCATCAACTACCGACGAAGATGAAGACGACTCTGGCGTGCGTTCAGCAAGAGGTGATCCCCCGGATGCAGTGAAGTCACCAGTTTGAACAGAGGATGTGGATACCGTTGCCTTTTGTTGTCCCTCTTCTTGCTCTTTCTCGTCTGGTGTTTCCTTCTCCTGTTGTCTCTCTGATTGTTCTTGCGACTTTGTTGTACCAAACGAGCGGACAAGGTGACCTATAGTCGGATACTCCAGCATGAACAGTGGAGACAGAGGATAATCAGACTTCTCCTTTACCCGCGTACAAATCTCCACGGCCATGATAGAGTCCACGCCAAGGTCAGCCAGCGCGGCATCCTCTGTTAGCTCCGTCGTTTCCAAGCCTGTTTCTTCGGCAATACTGTCGAGGATGACTGGAAGCAAGCCGGCCTTGGCCTGGCTAGGAGTTTGTTGGCTGCTACCTGTACCATCGTCAAGACGTGGATCTTGTTCCCGGAACACAGACGGTTGCTCGGCTATTGTCTCATTCTCCGTCTTTGTCACCATCGTATTGGAATGATCTGCCGGCGGAGGCGTCTCTATCACCCTGGCGGCGCCTCCACCGATCTTGACTGACCGGTCCTGGTCCTGTTGCTGTCTCCCACCTGCGCCGGGAGCTAAGGTCTGCAGCAAAGCCGCGTTGGGAACCTCATGGAACCTCATCCGCCAGGTCCTCATGACCAACTTGTCAGCATCGTCAAAGACGACAACCTCGCAGACAGCCGAGTCAGATCCCCTCTCAGAGACTCGCGCATAAGTCCAGTACGACTGACCAGGCTCGATCTTCGCCATCTGCTCGAACCGTTCGAGGCTATCCATGATGAAGCTTGAGTTAGTGCCCGTCTCGGAAGAGAAACGGCTCGGATGGCAGTTAACCAGGAAACCGGCCAGATGTGCCAGGGCTTCGCCGCAGTAAGGCGATCCCGCCACGAAAGTCACGTCAGCGGGGTCGCGAACAGGTACAACCTCGGCCACCGCCTCCGAAAAGTCGTCTGAGACGAACGCCTCCCGGATGCAACGGTAGTTGTCGGACGCGTACTGAACGGCACGCGGGAACAGAGCGTAGAAGATGCTTGCTGGCAGTCTGCTGCTGCAAGACCGTTGCACCTCAAGCATTCTCGCCCTGATATAGAAGGAGTGCGAGTCAGCATTGGGTTGATTGCCGTTGCGGACTACAACGTCGCAGCGGCCCAGGTCGAACGAGCGTGCTGATGATTGAGACAGCGCCTTGAATGCGACTTGGATAACACCCTCCGACTCAATGACAGCTGTGGCATGAAGCTCACCATTCGGACCGGCGATGGTTGCCGTGAGAGGACGTCGCAAATTGGCCTTCTGGAGACTGAAGCGTTCCATGATGTTGAAGTTGTCGTCCATCTTCCGGCCGTCGTGATGCTCGAGTGCGCACTTGGCTGCTACGAATGCGGCCTCACTGAAGACGGAGCCAGGGCAGAGACCCACGCCTTGCATGCGGTGACCTTCCATCATGGCAAGGAGTCCTGGGACTGCAATGGAAGCGCCGACGGTGACGCGGGTCTTGCCATCCTTGTCTTTGGTCTTGTCCACGATGTACTGCGCACAAGTGGATATGATGGGCTGTTGGCGGGCCAGATGTCCCGGGGCACCATTATCACCAGCAGCAGATCCATCTAGTAACTTTTTCTCCTTGTAGGCAATCCAAAAGTCCTTGGTATCCCAGGAGTACGACGGCAACGTGAGTAGTTGGAGGTTCTTCTCAAATGGCGCGTGGAGCAAGAGCCAGTCCGGATCGCAACCGTTCACGTACAGGCTGGCCAGACACTCGGGGATGCCCGTCCAAGGACTTGAACCGGTACCCTTCAGCGTCGACACGACATGGCCAGTCCGCGGCGAGAGAGTCTCCTGAACAAATGCGCCGCACACCTGGCTCGGGCCAATCTCAAGCCAGACCGGGCTGTTGTCCTTGAACTTGGCCTTAACAGCATGGAGCGCGCCGACAAAGTCAACGGGGTTTCGAGCTTGCTTGGCAAGGTATTCAGGACCGAACTTAAGACTTCCTGCAGCAGCATCTCCGTCCACAATAGAGGCTAGGAGCGTCGAGGCTACGGGCACCTTTGGCGGCAGTGAGTAGGTGATGCCAGGACCAGACGCGAGCGCCATGAAGTCGTCTATGATGGCGTCAACCTGGAATGAATGGAAGCCAAAGGGTAGCGGCAGGACCTTCGAGCGCGTCTTCTGCTTCATGAGCGCTCCCTGGAGCCGTGCTACGGCGTCGACTGTCCCGCTCACAACCGACGCGCTGGGACTGTTGACGCAAGCAACGGAGCACTTCTCCGCATCAAGGCCCAGATCCTTTATAAGGTCTCGAACGGCGTCTGCGGGTGCCGCAACAGCGAGCATGGCGCAGACACCTTGGCTGTTGCACTTCTGCATGGCCAAGGCGGCGCGAGAACCGACGAGAAAGAGGGCGTCAGCGAGCGAGAGTACGCCGGCCACGTGAAGCGCAGCATACTCGCCCAAGGAGTGGCCCATCACCAGATCCGGCTCAACAGCCAGCCGTCTCCAGAAGGTAGCGAGGCCGATCTCCAGTGCCAGTACGGCGAGCTGCGTCTGCGCCGTGTTCCAGGCCCCACCTCCCATTCCGGCTCCGGCTCGTGCCCCACTTCCGGTCCCGGTGATGATATCCAAGAAAGGTGGGAATCCGAATCCGCTGCATATGTGCTGGCAAAGGTCCACAGTGTCCTTGAAAACTGTGCTTGTGCGATACAAGTCGGCGCCCATGCCAGCGTAGTGTGAACCCTGGCCGGTGAAGACGAAGATGACGGGCGATTTCTTGGTCGTTGTGGGTTTTGAGTCAGACTGCAGTGCCTGGATAAGTTCTTTCGTAGAAGATGCGGCACAAGAGAAGCGGAAAGAAGGCTGGTGGACCCTTCGGGCCGTGGTTGTGTAGGCGACATCCTCAAGACGAACGGACGGGTTCGCAGCAAGCCATTTTGCCAGCCGGGATTTGTTGGCTTGATGTGATGCGGCTGTGTGTGCCGAGAGCACCACAACGTGTGCTGATCGCGGGTCATTTTCAGGGCCAGAGGTTACGGTCTTTGTGTTCAGGCCTTGGAAGTCTTCCACCACCAACGCCGTGTTGCCGCCCGCAGCGTCAAAGTTGTTGATCAGAACACGCCTTCTCTTCCCACTCTCGGGGCGGAACGGGGCGGCCTTGCTCAAGATTCTGATCTTGTTTTCTTCCAGTGATGGGAACTGCTTGTTGAGAGCGTGTGGCATGCCAGCTTGGGGCGGCAGCATCTGTTTCTGGAGCATGAGGATGGCCTTGATTACCGAGGCAACTCCAGAGGACGCCTCGCTGTGGCCGATGTTTGCTTTCACAGATCCAACTGTTAGGGGCTGGTCTGCATCTCCGCCGTCGGCCTCCTCCTTACCGCCGGCCGGCGTCCTACGTCTCCGGCCCAACACATTCGCGATGGCTGTCATCTCACATGGGTCGCCAACAGGAGTCGCAGTACCATGCATCTCAGCGTACGCAATATCCCGCGGGCTGAGTCGCGCCTGTCGCAGCGTCTGGCGCAACACACGCTCCTCGGCCCCTGAATCTGACTGCGTGAGGAAAGCTGAGTTACCGGCTTGGTTGCGCGCTTAGCCGGGGATGACGGAGAGGATACGATCATTATGGGCGATGGCGTCAACAAGACGCTTCAGCACCACAACACCAACAAACTCGCCGCGGCAGTACCCCTGAGCGTCATCCCGGAAGGTTCGACAATTTCCGGTGTCCGAAAGAACGCCGGCCTTGCTTAGGAGGCACCACCCATGTGGCGAGGCCAGCACGTTGGCGGCGCCGGCAACCACCATGTCGTGGTCGCCCGCCAACAGACCTCGGCAAGCCAGGTGGATTAGCGACAGTGAGGTTGAGCAAGCCTGGTCGATAGAATATGTCGCGCCCTCCCATCCATAGTGGAAGGCGACACGGCCACCCGCAAAGGGTCGCGCGAGGGCTTGTAGTGTGTATGCGTCGCAGCCCTTCTCATGGTGTGCCGTCTCATATCCGTCCACATTGCTCTGGCCGAAGAGAACGGAGATTCGGCTCGGATCTACCGCTTTGGTTGTGCCGCATGAGTAGCCTGCCGACTCGAGCGCCTCGTGGCACGCCATCTGGAACAGCCGACTACCGGGGTCCATGATGAGAGCCTCGCGCGGCGAGACGCGGAAGAAGCGCGGGTCATAATGGCCCGGCTTGTCGAGGAAGCAGCCCAACTTGCACGTTGACACACAGTTGGGGCTCTGCTTGGATTGGAAAAGTTCTCGGCGTCGAACCGTCCTTGGGGGATCTCGCGCGCAACATCACGACCGGATTCGATGATCTTCCAGTATCCCTCCAGGTCATCGCACTCGGGGGCACGGGCGGCCATACCCACCACGGCAATACGCCCTTCGTAGCTGTCTACGGCTTCCTGCGATTTCGGTTCATGACTCTCGTTTCCGAGCTCGGTGTGCGGGGCGACCGAAACTCGTCTTCCCGTCGCTTTCAGCTTTGCTGGTGAGAGAGCCGGCGAACCACGTCGGACCCATTACCAATAGTTGCACGCCTTGGCAAGACTCTGCACCGAGACGGTTGTTCAACCTCTTCACCATCTCCACCAAGTCAACCGGCCTTGAAAATGCATAGTCTGCGACGCTCAGAAGCAGGTGGCCCCAATTTGCGCAGCGCGGAGGAACAGCATCGTCGTCTTCATCGGAAGCCCGAAGGCCCCAAATTCGGAATCCCGGGTGGACAGACTTAGAATGGAATGCTGATTGTCCGGCAATGTACTCGCGATGTGATTGTGAAAGCTCGTGGTTGTGCTGCATCGAGTAGATGGGAAGCCTCTGCGTCGCGACATCTCCCAATCTAGAGTCCTTCAAACATGCGTCGAGCACCGAGGGAGGACCGACGACGGTGCCCCAGTGGTCTCCTCGGATGCCCACCCGCGCTCTCTTCAGACTTGGGACTTTGCTGCTCTCCTGGATCTGGTGGAGGATACCGTCCAGCTTCTCGGGCGTGATGCCCACGACGGCACAGCCCCATGAGGAGGAGCTGCCGCTACCGCCGTCTTCCACGGCTCGTGAGACCTGCCCGGCAACCTCGCACAGGCGACATACGAAACCGGCGGTCACAACGCTTGCTTCACGGAGTGATTCAAAGTCGTCTGAGATGGCCAGGAGCGCGGCGTTGATCAGACCTCCTGAGATACCCAGTCCCTCGGGTCTGGGATTCGCTTTCAAAGCGTCTGGTGAATCATGGACCCATCTGACTTACAGAATTAGCACCTTGACATGTAGAAGGACGCTTCTCTCGGATCCATCGTACGCACCTTAACAGAATCACGGCCCGGACAATGTAGGACATAATACACTGCACAAACCCAACATCGTCATCATGATCGCGGTACAAGTCTGCAACCTCCTGAACGCTGGAAAAGATACTACTAGGACCCAGGCTGTCCCGGATCTTTGGGTGCATATACCGGGTCTCCGCTCTCACGACCGCCGCCACGTCGTCGAGGAAGAGCCGCAGCCAGGCACATTTGCCGGCCTGTTCGTGGATGCGGTCGATCGACTCGAGCCACGGCTCCGTGTAGCCTCCGAAGAGGAGGATCGTTGGTGTTGGTGTCACCACCGTCATTGTGTGTTCACGTATGTGGTAATTCTCGTCGTGTAGAATCTGTCTATCCCCTCAGAAAGATAGGCCAAAACTCGTCGCTGGTCGAGAGTCGTCGATGTTGTTGGGGGAAGTGGGCGGGCGGTCAAGGTTGAAGCTCGTCTGCACGTGTTGCTCGTCGTGTAAACACCCCTGATCAGCACCAGGACCTTTTTTGCGAGTCCGAGATGTGCGAAGTCGTGATAACTGACAGTCGGTCTTCTCGGAACTCCGAAGTTTTCTTAACAAAAGAATAAATTAATATTCGAGTCGTATCATTTCAAGCATAATATTCGGGTTCACGTAAGATTTCCTTACGTTCTACGGTATCGAATAGCCCCATGATCGACTCAAGACGTTCATGGGTTCAATATCAGTCTGCAGAACAAGGCCGGCAAGTTGACTACGCAATCGTAGCTTAATTCGCTATCAGTTTTCACAAGAAATAGGTTCCACAATACCACTGACTCTGACGGGCGTATCGTTACCGCTCGTGAGCAGAGAGCATCTTCAGTTGTAAAACTAGCGCAGGACCCAATTTCGATGGAACCCACACGTGTTAGCAACAGCCAATTGCCAGCACAGTATTACCCTATGCGTAGGGCGTAGTCGCAAGCAGATTGCAACCCCCCAGCTCTAGTTGTAGGGAGGAGAGCCAAGCACTCGGACTGGACCCGTAGCCGGCCCGAGCAGCCGAGTCAGGCACGCAGAACATCTACTGCTCTAGGCCCGTGTACTTGCCGTATAGTGAGGCCGTGAGTTAGAAAGTCCGGGGTGCATTACTCGGCGAAACAGAGCCCCATTCGACACGGACAGGCCGCTCAAAGGTTGCCCTGGTCGTTGTGGGGAGAAATTCCCGTTCACACTGTGGAATTTATGTGTACTTACACAGCTTCGTGAACCATGGGCCCTAGGAGAAAGAACAATCAATATCCACTTTCAATATCCCCTCCTACCCGTAGTACTACCCCGTAGAAACGCACTGTTGATCGTCTGAGACTCTATTCCCACCAGTTGCAAGAAAGAAAATTCTACCGATTGATTGCCCGTGCCCTGTACAACTCTTCACCGAGGTGGGCAGTTGTCGGACCCCGAGAATCCATAGGGTTGAAAGAGCTACTAGATACAGAACCTCCCGCCGGGACATGAACAACGGTCGTCCCGAAGGTGGATAGCTGCCGGCTGATATTCGCAAATCCCTCTCCTGAAACGGCGTGGTCTCTTGCCCCGTGCAGGTCGTCTACAATCTAAGTGGCCATGCTAACTCGGTGAACCCCTCGGGATATAATCTCAGGATCGTGGGGTCTGGAAGTTTGACAATGAACCATGTTCGATGATAGAATGTGAGATTCCTGAAGGTCATCGTGGAACTTGGGGTATGGGACCCTCTCTGCTTCTGCTACGCACGTATGCAGTTCTGGTCGCAGGGTCTACCCTCAGGATACCTGGCCGAGTTCATGTTGACATTATTCGCTCAAGATAGTCGGTCACCACGAGTGGGCATCGAGGGGGCCATGGAATGCGTTCCCAGTTGGCGTGATAAGTGCTGCTGGTGCCCATCGACACTGTTGGATTTAGGTAGCTTGAGAGAGTTGTTCGCGGTAGCCTCGTCAAGACCAATATACCATTTGACTTTTCAGAGTTCTTGTTTTCATTTTCATCATGGGGTCTCACAACGTTCGTCGGGATAACATCCCCATTGCTGTGGTCGGCCTAGCCTGCCGACTTCCAGGCGATGCCACCAGCGCGACAGAATACTGGAACATGTTGAAAGAGGGAAGAGGTTAGTAAAGCTCACACAACTGTCTCCTGGGAAATGGAACACCGCAAGCAACCGGCCAGCCAGACAGAAAGACGGACCACTGACGCAGCTCACCAAACCGCAGATGGCTACTCACCCGAGACAAACCGCTACAACCCATCGGCCTTCCACCACGCCAACCCCAAAGACAGGCAAAACGTGCTGCCCACCAAGGGCGGGCACTTCATCAAGGAGGACCCCTACGCCTTCGACTCGTCCTTCTTCAAGTTCTCCGCCGCCGAGGCCGCCGTCCTCGACCCCAAGCAGCGCATCCTGCTCGAGGTGACGTACGAGGCCCTAGAGAATGCCGGCCTGCCGCCGCCGCGCATGGCTGGCACGCGGACCGCCTGCATCATCGGCACCGCGTGGAGCGACTATCGCGACGCCCTCGTGCGCGAATTCGAGCAGTGGCCGCGCCTGTACCTGATGGGCGTCAGCGACGAGATGGTCAGCAACCGCCTGTCACACTTTTTCGACCTGCGCGGGCCGAGTTTGACGGTCGAGACGGCGTGTTCGTCTAGTCTTGTGGCTATTCACCAGGCGTGCGAGAGCCTGCGGTCTGGTCAGGCAGAGGTGCGTTCATGAATCTCTATCACACGTCTTGTTAGCTATCTTGTATCACTCACACGACACCCAGATGGCCGTCGCAGGCGGAATCAACATGATCCTCGGCCCCGAGGCAACCATGGAACTCAACAGTCTGGGCGTGCTCAACCCCGACGGCCGCTCCCTCTCCTTCGACGAGGGCGCTAACGGCTACGGCCGCGCCGAGGGCTGCGGCATCGTCATCCTCAAGCCGCTGGACCAGGCCGTCCGCGACGGCGACCACATCCGCGCCGTGATCAGCGGCAGCGGCGTCAACTCGGACGGCTGGACCAAGACCATCTCGACGCCGTCCGCCTCCGCGCAGGCCGAGCTCATCAAGCTGGTCTACGAGTCCAACGGGCTCGACTACGACGCGACGCAGTACGTCGAGGCACACGGGACCGGCACCAAGGTCGGCGACCCGGTCGAGCTGGGCGCGATTCATGAGACGATTGGCCGCAATGCGAGCGAGTCGAGAAAGCTGTACGTGGGCAGCGTGAAGGCGAATATTGGACATCTTGAGCCTGCAGCCGGTGTGGCGGGCTTCATCAAGGGCGTTTTGGCGCTGGAGCACGGCAAAATCCCGCCCAACGTCCACTTTCACAAGGCCAATCCGAGAATTCCCTTTGATAAGTGGAATATGGTGGTGCCGACGTCGCTGACCCCTTGGCCCGAGGCCGAGACAAAACGCATGAGTGTCAGCAGTTTCGGCATGGGCGGAACCAATGCCCATGTTGTCCTCGAGGAGTTCAAGAAGACACCAAAGCAACTGACGAATGGCGTTCACAGCAATGGTAATGCGCCCTCCAAGGCCGCCGTTGTTGATCAGAAGAGACTCTTTGTCTTCAGCAGTCACGACCAGGCAGGTATCAAGCGCGTCTCAACTACGCTGGCACAGCATCTCGACAAGGTTCGGAGTGAAAACCCAACCTGGACACCTGAGAAAGGTGAGCCCGAGTACCTGGCCAACTTCGCACACACACTCGCCACCGCGCGCTCCAGTCTGGGATGGAAAGCCAGTTGCCTGGCAAGCAGCTTCTCACAAGTGCAGTCCCAGCTGGCGGCCGCTCCTTCAGAGGAGACTTGGAAGATCTCTCGCGCGTCATCCGATCCAAAGCCGTTACGCGTAGGCTTCGTCTTCACCGGCCAGGGCGCCCAATGGGCAGGCATGGGTATCGAGCTCCTCTCGCGCCCCGTGTTCCGGGCTTCAGTCGCCCGGTCGGCCGCCATCCTCGAGAGCCTCGGCTGCACCTGGGAGCCCGTAGCCGAGCTGTCGAAGATGGGCAAGGAGTCCCGGCTCGGCCAGCCCGAGATCAGCCAGCCCATCTGCAGCGTCCTGCAGATTGCCCTCGTTGACGAGATCCGGTGGTGGGGCTCCCCGGTCCTCAGCAACCCGGCAAAGGTCGTCGGCCACTCGAGCGGAGAGATCGCGGCGGCCTACTGCATGGGGGCTCTGACGCACCGGGACGCGCTTGTTGTGGCATACTCCCGCGGCACGGCCTCGGCTCTACTGCCGACGGTTGCGCCGCATCTCAACGGCGCCATGATGGCGGCGGGATGCTCCCGCGAGACGGCCGAGGACCTCATCGATAAGCTCGGACTGTCTGGACAAGTCGGCGTCGGGTGCGTCAACTCCCCATCCAGCATCACACTCTCCGGAGACTCAGCTGCGATGGACACAATAGCCGCTGCGCTAGACGAGCAAAAGACGTTTTGCCGGCGGCTCAAGGTCCAGGTGGCCTACCACTCGTCCCATGTCGCTACCGTTTCCGGCGAATACTACCAAGCCATGGCCTCAGAAGGCGTCGAGCCCATCGTTGTCAGCGCAGACGAGGGAGCTCCTCGTATGATCTCCAGTGTGCTGGGCGACGATGTGTCCTCAGAGCAGTTGGGACCCTTCTACTGGCTGCGGAACTTCACCTCGCCAGTATTATTCTCCGACGCTCTGAAGAAGCTGGTCCTGCCGGAGACCGAGACCGAGAATGAGAACGAGCCTGACGTCGACTTACTCGTCGAGATCGGGCCCCACAGCACCCTGGGCGGGCCCATCGAGCAGATCCTCTCGCACCACGGCGTGAAGAGCGGCGCCGTGGCCTACCAAGCGGTCCTCCGTCGCGGCGCCGACGCCGCCGAGACGAGCCTCCGGATGGCTGAACAGCTGTTCCACCTCGGCATCCCGCTGGATCTGGCCAAGGTCAACGGCGACGATTCGCCGTTGGTGGACCTGCTCACGGACCTGCCCCCGTACCCCTGGATGCACGACAACAAGTACAATGCCTATCCGAGAGTGCAGAGGGAGCGTTGGTTCCGAGACCAGCCCGCCAAGGGCCTTCTAGGTGCACCGACGCCGGTGATGCGGGAGAAGCAGCACGTCTGGCGCGGCTTCATTCGTCTCGATGACGAGCCGTGGCTGCGCGGGCACACCGTCGGCGACACTGTTGTCTTCCCCGCCGCCGGTATGATTAGCATGGTGCTCGAGGCGGCGCAGCAGCTTGCCGAGCCTGGCAAGGCTATTCACGCCCTGCGCCTGCGCGACGTGTCGGTCATGGCTGCCGTCTCGATTTCCGAGGGTGTGGCCACAGAGGCGGTCGTCAATATG